CAGCTTTATGAAATATATGAAGGAGTGTGCTTTAACCTACTATTAACAACCTCTACAAGCCCTGTTTTTCTGCACTTTCAAATTTTTTTAATAAAGTGGCCAAATTTTTGTATCATTCCTGCTAATTCCCTTTTCCTCTCCATCCTTCCTCCCCCCTTCACCTCTGATAATGGACGCAGCAGTGCTCCTTCCAGACAGGGTGAGGCAGGTCCTCATGCACATTCATCTCTTGCAAGGAGCATGTACTTTCTCTTCTTGGGACAATCTGATGGCACCATCATCTTAACCTGTTGTCTTTATGCAAGCATCTGGTGCGCGAGTAGAATGGATTCTGTGTCCAAATGCGAAACAATTACCATTAAAAGCCACCTGTTTTCCGTGTCTTGATGGAAGCTTCGAAACACCTGAGGCTGATACCAATGGACAGTCCGTTAAAAGTGATGGTAAATCTATTCATTCTCGTAAAAAGGGTTTTACGAGGCATACTAGTCCGCCTTTTATCACACTGATGCGTATAAGCTCATCAAAACTGTATTAAGGCCTTAAAGTTAGAACTGTCGGTTAAACTAAGAAACAAATGAAATCGAAATTCAACCTAATAATGCTTTATTTTATCTATCCTACATTCATCACAAAACTCATTATTTTGCGAAAAAGTCATCACCTAATACTTCAAAACGTCTTTACAACGAACCTATTTTTGAACTACAAAAAGACATCGACGTGAAACGACTATTTTTGTTCCCATATTCCTAGACTTTATTTTGCAATTATAGTGAAATCATGTAATTGCTTTCCATTTTAAATGTGTGCAAAGTCAATGACTTTGTCGCTCTGCTTTACGACTTCAAGCCATTTAAAATGTTCCTTTTGTGATGTGGTCGCCTTCGTTCCTGACTAGCAATGTAGCTGCTTACATAAATGTTTGCCTTTGACTACATTTCTTAATAGCCATTTGAGGATGGATTAAGCAGTGTTGAAATATCGAGGAATGATGGAATACTTAGTAAACTGGAGTACACTTAGTTTTAATGTGGGAGCTCTGTTCCAACAATTTTGAAAGCCGTTTGATGTTACGAAAAAGTAGGAATTTAAGGAACGAATAAGGTTTTGACATTTATTACCTCTTTTTAAAAGCAGTGATTGGCATTAGGTAAATTACGAAAATGAAATGAGCATTGGGGCAATCTGGACCGCTTATAAGCTAACGATGCCAATTAGCCTCAATGCAACAGTCGGAGGTCGTTAGTGGAGTGAACCAGAGGGATTTGGCATCGATCGAGGCGAAATGAAGGGAAGACCTAGTGCTGAAGTCCAATTAAGCTTGCGGAAGCCACGAGGCAGTAATAAATACATGATTCACTTCCGCAAAAATCTGGGTCTTCCGGTGGACGTGGAAGGGCCTGAGGAGACGCTTCTAATAACTCGACTTTGGCCAGGGACGTGTCCTCTCCCACCTCCATTAGTGGGAGCAGATCGATGTAGTAGTGCTGGGCACAGATTGCCCATGGAGCTCAAATCCTTTAAAAGCATTTTCATGGCTCTATTGGGCCACGAAAGCTGTTCTGACGGCGAGGGTTCTATCGGTTAAAAACCATGCAGACAAATTCTACTATCCTGCAGACGCAACCGGAAATAGTTTACTTCGATGGAATTTCATAGTTCCCTGCTTGTTGATGCATCTCATTTAGTCTGATTTTAATAGCAAATATTTCCGTTCACGGTTGCAAGTTCAGTCACCAATTAAGTCACGTCACCCCTTCGTTTTGGAATAGTGCCATTCATGACGTCCCCCATATGCAACCTCAACCAACCCCAAATGCACTACCTATATATTTTTAAGGTCTAAAATTTCCGATTAGTATTATGCTTTAAAAACACTGTCAAACTCATATGTACGGACCACAAAGGAAAACCAGTCTTTGACTGGCAATTCGGCATGCTTTTTCCAGTTTCCAGATTTTGACAATGCTATGGCAATTAATCAGTAGGCACTTTTAAAAAGTTCACTGTATCTTAGTGCGCAGCACAGACATTATCATGCTTTCGTCGCGTTATGCAGGAACTTGCATAAAAGAGTTTGTCACCTTGGTAAATGAGTAACACTGGGCCAAATACGACTCTTAAGTGAGGTCAATTAAATTACTTTTAATAGCCTCCTCCACCACTGTCGAATCAACAATATATTTGAGCAGCAAAAGGATACACTTTGAGTAATTTGCACAAAAGTCAAGAAGCAATGACAAGCATTAAGTTTACTTTTATGCAATAATTAGTGTCTTTGGTTGGAGTAGCCTGCCTTCTTTAGTCATTATTGGAAGTTCTCATTGTCCTGGATTAAAAGCGGTGGGAGTTTAGTCATAGTTATTTCTACCGTCGTCAAGACAACGCCCTACACCGATTGGCACCAGTGCGTAGCCCTAAACATGACTCAACGCAATAGATGTTTCCTCTGCGTGGACATAATGACCCATACGCACACACGCACACACACCTTATCGTCTCTTCCCTTCTCAGGCACGAGGTCTCCTATTGCCTGCCCCTCCTCCTCCTCCTTCTCCTCCTTCTCCTCCACCTCTTTATCTCCCCTCCACCCACACAGGCGAACATAGCGACGCGCACAATCGATTTGCGGCCACGCGAATATTCATGGCCAATAGCTGTGGAGCATGACACGCGTCAGCCAATCGGATCTCTGAGCTGTGCTCAGAAAAGCGTGAGCCGTGCGTACGTGCGTGCGCAAACAAGCATGCTCAGAGCAAAGTACTGTCCGCTGGTTGCGTACACACGTAGGCACAGACCTCCAAATTGCACCACTCATTCACCCTCCTCCAAACTATCGTAAGTACGAATAATCGCAACACATTCACACGATTACAAAAACACGCCTCTATTCGGCCTGGGTCGTCTTCGGGTGAAGTATTGCCCAAAGCTTTCAAAAAAAACCACAATAACGTCTTCGAGCGTCCTGGCGCCTGTGTATCCATCATTATGGCCGTAAGCTACACCGCCAACATCCCTGACAACTTCGCCAACCACCTCTTACAAGATAACTATGAGTACAAGGTCTGTTACTCTCTCGTCTCTACCATGACACCTTGGAAATTCTTCCATTGCATTTAAAGTTGGTATTATGGTTTGAAACACCGGCTAAATTTATTAGCATTTTTTCTTTAAAATGTCATAAATATATCAAGTACATTATCTAGCTGAAAGAATCATTTTCATTGATATTTCCAGCGGCTTAGTCATAGTAGGTGATATTTTGTTTTCTCTTTCCCTTTCATGTAAAATTGTTGCGCTCGTAACCTTCGCCTTCCCGCGCATTAAACTTACCAGTCAAGGTGATTTACATATTCGACCGCTTGAGAATATAACTAAAGTTACTTTTCTTAGGGTATTATGCGAGGATGACTGTCGCATTGTCACATTGAACTTATCTTTTAAATTGCAAAATTACATATACTTATTTGCGCAATAAATGTCACCAAAGTCAAAAAAATTACTGGTTCACATTGTCTACACGAATGCCTGCCAAAACTGCACTTTGTCATCTGAGAGAAAGTAATGACAGCTTTAAGCGATGGTCAACCCTTGGCGGAATTAAGTGGTCAGTCTACTAATAGCATCACTTTATATGCTACCACGTTTGCCCTCTAAACAAAAATGATCATCAAAGCGAAATAATGTTATTGGAGGGAGGGAGACATCAGGGCTCTTCTGAAGCTGGATGAAACTTCTATTGGTTTCCTCCAGTGTGTACAACGAGCACTAGCGTTTCCTTTGCTTTCTTGACCGTCTCGAGGACCGTCTGTCTTGTTCTCGAATTTGTAGTTATTGTGCTTGATTCCTACAAGCTGAAGTGCAATCACAATACGAGCTAGCAGCACCCAACTGCTTTTACCAATCTGTGAGAAGGATATCTGTGTTGCGCTGTAGGTGTCGATTCTAATTCTTGTAAAACTACTGCAGTCGTAAGCGAAGGGAGTACTTTTGAGCCAACCGTCCTCGGACACCACTTTATCTGGGCAATTACATGGGGACCTCTGAGCTTCTGGCAACTCATATTGGATTGTAAGCGAGCCAGAGCACCAGGCATACGGGAACGGTGTTTGCTTTGGTGGTTACTGAATGACAATAGTGTTTATGCACAATCGCCTGACCCAGATGTCGACTGAAGTAGGAACAACAATCCTCCCATGAAGCCAGCCAAAGAAATTTACTGGGGACATATCTTTTTGATGATTGGGCATCCATAATCCTTTACGAGTTAAATTTAGACGGGATTTGAAAGAGCTTGATATTCTTTTGGCCTCAAATTTATCTTCTTGCACTTAAATTTTGAAGCACTATTGGATTACCCATCCCGATATCCATTAATGGAATAATTGTTTAGCAATGTAAAGTTTGATTCCACCTTGCCCTCAATACATTTACCCACAGAGTAGTGATTTGTGAAACGAAGCAAAATTTGCGACAGTGAGGAGGTCTACTAAACCTAAGATGGTCAGTGATGTTAGTCAAACCATTTTACGCGCTGTCGGTAGGAGACATTGGCAGGCCACGCACCGCGTGGCGTTCGAGAGAGTGGAGATCGCTGCTCTGCAAAAGCAGGTTCCAACAAGACTGCAGTGACGAAATTGTGCACATGAATCGGACCGTTCGTCGATGTTGATGTGTGCTTGCATGCCTCGTCTTGCACGGCCAACATTAATGGTCAGCCCTCGGACATTAGCAATGGCAGCAAGCAAGTGCTCTTCACATAAAATGGATTTTCAGACAAACGTTTGCTAACACTGCCGTTCTCCGCCACCAGTCCAGCATTCCCACAATATTGGGACGATTGGGATCTGTGTGGCTTAATTTTTCCTTCCCATTCTAAGAATTCCTTCCTCACCTAGAATGCACAGGATTATTTTTCTCCACTAAAGTATTTGAGTTGAAATTCCATATAGTGCACTCCAGTGTATATATACCTACCCAAACCAACATCAAAATGAGAGCATACATTGTTTGTCTCTGGCTCCATATTTATGGCAAAGTTGGTCTAAAACGGCTTTATGAAAGCACTCACAACTATTATCAGCTAAACATATGAACTTCTATCATTTTGTGATAAGGGCTTGTGACTCACTTATTTGACTCCTCTTTTGCCATTATTTATGACTTTATAAGTTACAATGCATGGGCTGGCTTTCTGTGATGTCCAGCTTGTTCCTGGTCCTTTGCGTAGCCGTACACTACTGATGCCGCACTCCGTATAAAAAGTGTTTTGCCTCTTTAAGAGTATTCAAGCTATATGGAAGATAGTAAACAGGGCATAATTATCTACAGTCCTTCCAATAAAAGAGGAATGTATTTTTTACGGACTACAATAACACGCATTTTAATGTTGCAATAACGGCTAACAGGCAGTACACTGGGTTTTAGTAGGCGTTTTGATTCGTTGGTCTTTGGCCATTACTGCTGCCTTCCGTGCTTTTATTTTAATTTTGATTCATCTTTTAAACACACAGCGGGTTTATCGTTGTCACGGTACGATCAAACGCCGGCTTATTGTCTACCTCACATAGACGTACCCAGAGCTTGGGCAATTTAGCACTGGGAATAAATGCACTGAAAATCCACTTAGTTGCCTTCGATCCCCTAATGTGAAG